CCCGAATCAACACGCACGGAGGAAACGGGGTGTATATTTCCTCTCGGCCATTGGGCTACCTCGATTCACGGGCTAACCTCAGTGTACAGTATACAGTGCAAATTAATACTTCTTAATGCGCGCTATTGGCCGCCACGTGAATATCCTAATTCGGACGTGCATAATTAACGGCGTACGTCGGCAGAAGAGGCGTGGCAGAGTAAATTGAATTCTCTCAGTAGCGGCCAAAACGGAGATTTGAGGTCGATCGCGACCGACACGGAATAGTTAACCACGTCTGGCATGTTCAATTATGACTCACCGCCGATGATCCGCGCGTAAGGCAGAAAAGACGTGTTGCGAACGACGAATCACGTCGTGTCTCATTCTTTCTCTCGTATTTCATCCAAGAATTTATGGGATTGGTAGTCTTCCACCGAATTTAACTAATCATCGGATTCTGGCCGAAAGTATATCCTCAACTTGAAATTTGCTCCCAATCATGACTAACAAGTTGTCCAATTTCATTACACATTTCCCAAGTAAACGTTCTTATTTTTTTGTTTCACACCAGAGATGTAAAAACGTGGCCGCCTGTCGTTTCGTAGATTTCTAAAACATACGATGAAATTTTCATTCAAACGGAGTGAATTGTTCCAGCGAGCAGCGCGTCCCGCAAACGTGTCAACATTTGTTGAACGAAGAGTAATAGAATCTCCAGTGGCGTCATTTGTTGGCAGAAACTGTATACTTTACGGTTCAATATAAACGAAGATTAATCTCGCCGGCAAGAGATTATTGCAAGCTTCCGTACAACTTCGTCTTGCCTAAAAGATTAGTTATCCTATTAAAATTATTTTCAATCTTCTCTCTCTTTCTCTCTCTTCCCTGTTTTTTTTTTTTTTTTTTTTTTTTTTTTTGTTTTTATCATATCAACTTATGGCAAAGAATTCGACGATTGCCGACAAAGTAAAGGAGGTTCGCGTTACGTCGTCGATCGCTTAGTTCCACGCGGAACTTATTTCCTCCGAGACCAAGGCGATCCTGACGGTCCTCTTTCTCACTCTCAGACATTCGGGGACAAAAGGCTAGTCAGCAATTTCGTTCGATCAAAGAATCTCTTTTGCTATTTATATCCGTGTGTATCATTCTGCGCGTGTGCGCGCGTGCACGTGATAAAGTGAAAACGACGCGGATTGTATTTACGTAAAAGCGTATAACAATTTCTCTCTTGGTACCACCGGCCAACGTGCGTCCTTTGCTGGAGGAAGGAGGGAGAATGATTTTTGCGTAACGACAGGGAATCTAGTTAACAAATTGTAATAAAGGAAAGAAAGAAGGAAAGGAAAGTCGATACGAAGGAATCCCTTACGCAATGTCTTGCACAGTGAGCGCTGGCGGCGTAACCGTCGATGGAAAATAAATATAGAATGGTAAGCGAGCCCGATATAAAGAATCGTTATCCTGGATCTGGATAACGACGTACACTCGTCTTTCACCGCTCCCCTCCCTTATGGTTGATGAGCCACCCGACAATCCATCAGTCAAGTAACGTTATCAGCTATCGCGTCGACTGCGATAACAACCCTTATTTTCATAGTTTTATCATCGCGCTCGGAGCTGACGTCGTAACTCCCTCTAATAATAACGTGTTTCATTTGATAACATTATAAAAATTACAACGTCCTTGCGACGTTGTAATTTCCATCAATGGAGCTTAGCGTCATTTTGCACAGCTATGTGTGAGAAATACGCGAGGAAAAGACGACGAGGGAGTTCAGAGTTGTTGTTATCAACTCTGGTGGTAAAGTTTCTCATTAGCGAATTTTCGTTTAACTCAAAAGCGGCTAACTGGCGGCCCTTAGTCCTACTTTCCTGATCGCTAGCGCTACCCCCTCCACTGCGTCGATCTCTTCACTTGCATAGTAGGGGAATCAACAGACCGAAAGAGTGGGGTTCATGCACGGTGAGGAAATTTCAATGTAGCGGAGAGGATAGCGGTCAGAAAAGTAGGGACAAGAGCCAGTTAGCCGGCTCTGCAGTAAAGAATTTGTTAAATCATTATCAACTACCGCTACCGTATTATTTTGTACTTTCAAAGAAATAGACGGCAAATTTTATTAGAAAAATCGGAGAACACGAGCGAACGAAGCTTTGTGAAATGTGTACGTTAGTGCATGATATACGGAGACGTCCAGACTGATTTCCATAATTTCACTTTTCAAAGCTGGAACAATATTGAGACTGGCTCACCTGGATTCCCAATCTAGCTCACTGTGCGCCAGTTAGCCCGTGGTTTAAATATAATCGAGTAGTTCGGATACTAAAAACTCACTCCGAGCTTTCTCCACATCTTATTCTTACTTGTTTAGATAACAAAGGATAACAAAAGTTTATCAATTATGAGTGTCAACATTAACCGGTTCGTCTAAACAAAGTTGCACCGTACTGTCATTTATCCCAAAGTTTTGATAACGTTGATTGTACTAATTTCGCAGCTGTCGGAGATTCTATTGCTCTGGAGCTTTATGACTGAAATTTCGGCACAGCGTTGTCGGTCGATTCAATTCCAGATGACAGTCAGTCGGTTTGAAACGATATTGCCGTTGAGGACGAGGGTGTCGAATTTCTGAATGAAAAGGCAAAGGTAAGAGTGTGGTGGCAAGTCTCGTAAACATCGATGTTTCAACAGTCAGCAACGAAACGGCGATGACGTCTTTTCGTAACGCGTCGAACAAGGGGCAGTCACGTTAGGATAAAAATATTCGCTGCGAAATTTCCGCGGAATGAAACCTGGCGCGGTTTCATCAACGAAACGAATTCTACTGACAGGGCTGTTTGGGCGATTAGATTTGATAAAATAATTCTACGTTAATGTGGAATTCTACTTTTGTTTTCATCGATACAGAATGGAGAAACGAGAACTACCTAGACATCTACGACATTTTTCAACACCGATCGTTAAATTAAGTTAATAAATAATCCCATTTTATCGATAACGTGGAAACTCTTATTAGATTTTGTGCTTTTATTGATACAAAATGGAAGACATTTACGACACGTTTCTTTCCGAAACGAATATTAAAATTGTTCTGAGGAACAAAATTGAATCAAATATCTATCTAGCCGTGATATGATAGTATCCGTCGCGCAGCACGGGCGTGTTGCAATATACTTCGTATTATTCGCTGATGTGAAATATGCGCGCCCGGGACGAGACAACGCATGAAAAGCCGGTGAATAAGGTACGATCGTTGCCGGATATAAAATTTCGCGGCTATAAAAGACAGAGTCATCGCACCGGTCAGAAAATCGCGCGTCTACGTGGCTTGATACCGCGTTTCACGGAGCCACCGCACCGCTTGAAACAATGACACGTACAAACGACATAACCGTGTTAGTGAACTACACGCAAACGCTTCGGACGTGTTAGCACGCGCCATCGAGGAAACACGCGTCCCATAAAATCCGAAACTATTCCTGTAGCTATTACGGTGGGGAATACGTCTGGCTCGTACGGGAACAGGTGCGAGTTATTGCGAGTTTATACCGCACGATGTGCTTTACGTACGTGTCCCTGTGTTTCCGTACACGCTGTTCACCGTTTCATCCCCCAAAGTTGACGCCATCGCGCTCACCGAAGGATTCGAAATCCGGTTTTCCTCGGTGTCGATAAACGCGTCGTTGAAAAATTATTGATTTTCATCTGAACTCCTTCGCATATCTTCAGCCGCGTATGCTTCAGGCTTGATTACGAGTTATCAAACGAACGAACTTTATTAAACTACTTTATTAAACAAAAGTTGCTGCACTTCAGTAAGTGATTCGTTCTCTAATTTTGGTACATTGATATGTATATACATAAATTCAGAATTTCTAATTATTTCTAAATAGAAAGTTGATACGTATATACGTAACTTTGAGCAAGTGATTCTCAATTTTTAATCAATATTCCCCGAGAGACCAGATTATGTTTCCGTATCTGTTCAAACATAATCTACCCAATTTTTCCAAAAGGAAAGTAACAGTACTCGCAATAATATCGTTCGTAGTAATATTCAAAGAAGATTACACAGAGAATTTCGACGGTTGTATGGTCACGCTATTTTCCATTCGTGTTGTAATCGTTTTGTTTTGCATGAATTCGGCAATCGACGAAGCGGGACAAAATGCAGATTGACGGTGCATTATTTCGCGTATCGGTGGAAATTTAGTTGACGGCTGATGCGAAAAAGGCCCCCCCCCCTCCCCCCAAAAAAAGAAAGAAGATTGCAACGAAATTACATTATGCTCCGGAAATTAAAGCTTTTAGACGCGCGGCGCATTATCCAATCGTTTACCATTTTGCTGGATTTTCCTATTGCAATATGATTGAACGATTCGTTCGATTGTTCTCTCTCTTCCTTTTTTTCTATTTTTAAAAACAAATACATTCAAAGAATATTGTCTATCTTTCTGGGGCATTCCATTCATGCATTTTAACATTCTTATTAACGGACTGATGGAAACTGTTTACCGCGAAATTTCTTCGAGCAGGTTGACACCTTGCCAACGATTCCAATAACGTTCCTTTGTTCTTATCTTATTTGTTATTAGCCGTGTTGTTCTTCGAACGAAGTCGCGAGAATATTTTATAACGTAACATTGAGAAAAACAGATATTGCTACATTTATCTGTAAAAATTGTAGTCAATTGCAGTGATCAGTGAATTTGGATAATCGAAGCGTGTCACATCCCAATAGACTTCTTTCAAAATTCCAATAAGATTTCTTTGTTCATCAAACGAAATCGCGAGGATATTTTGTAACGTGACTTTGAGAAAAATAGATATTGCTACGTCTGTCTTTAAAAATTATAATCAAGATTCTTCTGTGTACAGTGATCACTGAATTTGGATAATTGGACAGAGTCAGAGTGGAAAGGTGCTTGAAATCGAAGCGTGTCACACGGAGGGATGAAAGGGCCAAGTCAAATTGAGCAAGGGTGAGAATATAATTAACAGAGTGTCTCGATTCAACTTACACCGTCCGGATGGTACTTGGGCGCGCCGCTGGGCGTTGTGTTTGACCCGCAGAATTCGGTGAGGACATCCTGAAGCTTCCGTGCAGAATCTGAAACAATGAAGTTAAAAGCAACTGTGACTTGCTGCGCGCCGTGTAGCTTCCTGTTTACCGGAACAGAAAATGCAATTTCGTGAGTAGTAATGGAAGCGGCTGAGAAACACACTGGGTCCACTGCATAGAATCTACAACAAAATTACGTTCCGCCTCGTACCCAGCTAGGCAACGACGCGATGCCAAGTAAAGAGACTGCTTTCCATCAAGTGACGATGACGACCGACACATTGTCAATAACAATTTCACCAAGCTCTCTAAAGACACGATTTTCCTCCGTCTCACGGCTGATACTCGATCGAACTTACCCGATCGAAGCTGTTTCAAAAATAGCTAAACTATTACATCGCTCGCACGTATTCGCCGGTGGAATCGATATACCAGAGATGATTCATTCGAGACCGATCTCTAGGACTTAGACGTAATACTAAATATAGATTTAAGTTTAGAAGACACTGGAACCAAGTGGCTACGTACCGAGCGAGGAAGCGAGGAAAGCTGATTTGAATTTAAACGAAACGACTCTGTTTGAATTCAAACGAGCACCATCCTGCGCTCATCCCTTTCCAGCGGGGCTATACCAATCGTTGCACCTCTTTCCGCGCCACCGTTCCTTGGACGAAAACTCGTCCTTGACGCTTGATCCAATCGACGAAGAAACTTCGGTACGAGTGTCAATACGCTCGCGGTGTCTCTGGCGTTGGCAATTAAAGCGATATCGACGCGATGTTACTCGGTTGGTCGAGTTGATCGTGGCTGGGCTTTCCAACGGGCAGCCGGCGAAAAGAAGACAAAAAGGAAAAGAAGGGGGTTGTGGATAAGGTGCGCTTTCAGTTCAGTTTTATTGGCCAGCTCCGGCGGTAGGAAAGAAGGAAATAGCAACAGAGGCGAATGGAAACACGATCGATCTGGGGCATCTGGGATTCAGTTGTTTGCAGAGGAAACAACGCCGATAAATTGACTAATAATAGGAGACCATTGGCCTAATCTACCAAACGTCGACGTCATAATGCACTTAACGAGCAAGGTATTTTCGGGTGGCCACTATTTTCGGGACGACTGACGAGAAACTATGACGGATCGCGCGCCAACGTTTCGCGTGATTAACGCTCCCGCACGGAAACTCGTGTTTCCGCCCCCGAAATCGGGAAATCGGGAAATTGGCAACTGGCTGGCTTCGCGAAAAAAATGGAAAATTCGCGTTTCTCTTTTTGTCCTTTCTCTTTCAGATTTTTTTTTATTTCACTTTGTTTCACTTTCGCAAGTAATATTTATTTCCAACAGCACGATTCTTTCCAATTCCAACCAAGATTTTTAATTTATATATAGAATATAAATTATATATATATATATATTTTTTATATAGAATTTCCTTCATTCAGAATCTAGAGCAGGATTGCAAAACAGTGGAATAATCAGTTTGTTGAGTTTTCGAAGAAATTACAGGAGAACCGCTGAAGTTCGTATATACGATAAGTAGAAACGGTTGCTTACCGCCAGACACGTAAATACGTAGTACTTACGCGCCCGCGCCGGATCTAAAGCAATCTATTTATTTCTAACAATAATATTTACCTCCGACAAACCAGGAAGAAGGAAAGTTCAGCCAAGATTTTTGTTTTACAATTCCCTTCGTTTAGAGTCTAGAGCGGGATTCTCCGTACGCGTTTGCCAATTTGCAAAACAGTGGGATAATTATTTACTACGATTGTCGTGAAACTGTCGGTATTCAACGTTGTATCCGATAAGTAGAAACGGTCGGTTACGGCCAGACACGTAAATACGCAGCAACTTACGCGGCCGTGCCATTTCGAGACACCGGATCTGAAGCAATGAATGCAATTCACGAATGTTATTCACGGTGTTAATAAAATCGTACACACACACACACGTACAGACGCACACAAGGTCGTAATGCCGCTCGGACTGCGCAAGGAAAATGTAGTTTCGAAAATTTGAAATTTATCCAGAAGACAGGCGTATCCTGCGACGCGGCCGGAATAAATTCCAGCTTTCTTTCAGGGGATGTCGGGCGAATTTCCATAATTCCATAAACAATGAGCCTGATATTCCATGACTTTCAGCCGAGATACTCGCCAGTTACTTTATTAGCCGCGTTTGTTTGCGCGTTCCCGATCGTGTTTGAAAGTCTATTGAAAATGTATTTCATCAGCACCTCTGTTTCGTTAAATGTTAGAATCGTTTCGTTTCTCGTCGTTCGTCCCCACGAGAGGAATTCAAATGAAATTACAACGATCCGAGAGGCCTAGAAACTACCCAAACTTCCCCTGGTTCGCGTAACCACGTAAAAATCCTGCAATGTTCAGAATTTGACCAGAGCAGTTTTTTTCCTTTGCAGAGGACAGTTCCCTTTGGTGTGATTTTTCGCAAAGTAATCTCGACCGGACGTTGATGGTAAAAATTTAACAATAAGCTACCCTTTCTCGTGCATAGGGAACGCGAACGATCGGATATAAAACAGCTGGGTCCTCGCTCGGGAAAAATGCAGATCGCATTGCAGTGGCAACCGAATTGCACCGAAATGGCACGGCGTGCTTTCCTTGGCCGGTATCTGGTAACAAAGTTTACGAAACTCGCAGCCAGCCGGCTATTTCGCTTTTTACTTACAAGCTGCTAAATCCTGTAGCTGTTGGAATTCCGCCGGTGAGAGCTTATCCCAGTGAAAGGCCATCCTTACTTCTGGTCTCTGTCTCCCGCAGGACGAACGCCCGGTTGTTCAACGCTGAAAGTCGTCACCTGTAGATGGAAAGATATCGCCGGATTAGGGGAAGCTTTCCAATCCCGCTGTTCGGGGCAGACGTTCGCGTATAAAACACCCGTACGCTGTAAATTCACGGTGACACGGTCGACTACTTCCACAAATAAGTTCAAAGCCTCTTTGAAAGTTCTCTGGATATTTTTAGAATTTCTAACTAACCTCTTTCAAGGGGATTTCAGGGAAAATTTCATTTTCACTTCCGATCAAAAAGATCTGCGGAGCAGAGCAGCGATTGTTTTCTTCTAGAACAGACGATCTTCTCGTATTCTCAATTTGTTTGAAAAAATTTATTTGACAAAATAGTAAAAGGAAGAAGAAAAACTTTTGCAAAAGACGCGAATTTTCATATTCAATTTCAGATTAAGAGGGTCGCTTTTTCGCGTGGCACTCGTAACACGAGCAAACTTTTTTATACTCAAAAGATGGCTTTTTCAATTTTTTTTTCTTTTCTTTTTTTTTTTAGTAAGCTTCTTAACTACGCCGTATAAATTCGCTACTTGCTGCAAGTTGTGTAAAGCGTTACGACCTATTTTGACGACGGTCTTAAAGCGAGAGAGACAAAGTACACTCACGGTTACTTAACGTTTGCTTTACACGATAAACGAGGGTCTTTCACTCCAACTCGTGCCCCTTTTTTCTACCAATGAATATTCCACAGATTTTCAACGAACGTTCAAACAACTCGCCGAAGGCGTGTAATTAATTAATTCGTCATTAATCGGTAAACATCGGATAATTATCGCGTAAACGCGTGGTCGTTTTTCCAAGCTTATTGTTACTTGCTCGACGATATGATATTCCGACACGTACATATGTACATACATATATTCATATATTTTCTCCCTTTCTTGCAACGTTATTTATTTCGAGAATTTATTTCTCGTTGAATTTTCCAGCTTCGCCTACAGAGTTTCATAAATTTAAGGACCAACAGCCTATAAAGGATTTCACTTGGATATCCATTTTATCTTCTATTTAGGAAGCCTTCCGCATCCCTTCTCTCTCTCTCTCTCTCTCTCTCTCTCTCTCTTTTCCTCTCTTTCTATCCGCGTCAAATGGAGTAAAACGCGGCTCTCTCGGAAGCAAGGAACCCAGAATTTCCAGGAAAACGATCCCCTTGAGCTTTCCACGCACGAGCCGCTTAAAAGCCATACTGATCAACTTTATACGTTAAAAAAAGAAAACTTAGGACCGTTATTACAGTGACATTACGAATATTATTTTTTTTCTTTCGTATTAAATTTGAAGATGTAAGTTGTTCGATCTATTTTCTCGGGAACTGAAAGTCAAAGCAATAATTCCCGATATCGCAAATAATTTAATTTCTTTAAACTCCATGAATCGTAGAACCTAGATGAAAGTCACAATGATTGGAATATATTAAACAAATCTTTGGAATTTTTCCTCATAGTCTCAGTGTTACACTGATTGAAAAAAAAGAGAAAGAAAATTGTAAATGGAACGTTATCTCTGGCGAAACTTGATCAAAAATGAACTTTGAAATTTCCTTTTCATACTCCCGGTATTAAATTCATTGGAAAAAAAATTGCACAATGCTATCTCGATGCAATATTGCTCTTTGACGGATTTGTCCAAAAACGAAACTGATCAGTTTGGTTTTCGAAAGACTCGTCAATTTTCAAAACTCGCGCGTAAACGAAAATTCCAAGGTTCCGAGAGGACGAGAAAGTGTACAGTTTACTAAACTGAAAAAGTTCAGCTTGCTTGGCACCTCTACTTTCGATCTGAATGTCGGAGGAGGGGTTGAAACAAGACGATTCGGAGCTCAGACGCGGCGGCAGGATCCGAGCGTGAAATTAAGCGTCTCGCGAGAGTGAGTATTCCAAAAGTTGCCACGTCCCGGCGAGAAAACGCGGGAAAGTTTATCGGTGAATTTCAAAGGAACCGCGACAGTTTGCCACTTTTGTCGGTGACTTCTTCGCGACTGACCTCGCACGATTAACATGTTGATCTGTCTGTGGCCAACATATGTGCGGCGATCTTAATCTTTTAAATCTTTGAGGCGAGAAAAGATGTAATGGTATTAGCTACATATGTAATAATAATATAGTAAGTTGTTAAATTACTTTGAAGAAGTCGTAATTACATTTTATTTAAAAAAACATATATATAAAATATGTAAAATATATAAAAATATATATTGTAAAAATATATAATACTGTGATTTTTGAATCATTTGTGATAAAACATTGGAAACATTTTAAACGAAACTAACTGATTTGCGAAATTTGGGGGTTTCGTTGTAAATTCTCTAAATGAGGGATGCAAAAAATGCGTAAAAACTTCTAATTTGACAAGCAACCACTGAAGAGCACGTTTCGTGTCGTAGTAAAAGGAAAAAAAAAAAAAAAAAAAACGAAAGCGTAAAAACGGCAGAATGCAACACAAAAACGTAAAAAAAAGAGCATAAAAACAACACGTATCTAAGCCTGGACTGGTGGTCCATGGTAAGAAACCTGCTCGATTTACGCTCGGCGATCAATGTGTTAAATAAAGCGTCCGTTCAATAAAAAACGCTGACTGTTCACGGACCATTCCCAACGGCTAAAGAACGAGATAAGCGAACATTCGCGCGCCAGGGCGGAACGTTCAAACGCTAGTCACGAACGCCATCGGTGAACTGCAAAACCGGTGGAGAAAAATTGACAATTTCGTTTCGTCGCGCTTTTTCCCTTAACATTTCCGTCGCGCACACATGTTGTGCTTCGTCGATCGTAACAATAACACTGCCGTCGAAAAGTTGGAAATTTTGTTTCTCGTCGCGTTTTCCAACAGAGTTTTCGCTGCTTTTCGATCATTTGCGCGTCATTTTTCACCGATTGTTGCCGCAACAGCGCAGCGACTGTCCGAAAATTGGGAAATCTCGTTTCTTCCCCCGGCTTTTGCTTTCAGCAGCGGCGGTCGTTGGTGCCGGGTGCTCGATCGAGAAGCGAAAGAAAGGACCTTTTGTGAACGGGACGCGGGTAATTCACTCGAAAGATAGTAGGCGCCGATCGCACCGTGTGCAACACGGCTCTCGTTTGCAGACGTTTGTCGACGTTTTATTAGCTTAAAATGACAGGTCGCGTGTACAACGTGACACTGTGTGGCAGTTGTATTGCGAACAGAAACGAAAGAATTGACAAACACTCGCTATATATATCTCCACAAGACAAAATTTCGCGAAATTCGTTATTGCTATATCATTGTTGAATATAATTGCAATTCGATGTGCATTGTAAAGAGAAACGAAAGAATTAAGGAACATTCGCTCGAATATCTATCTGTAGGACAGAATTTTCGCGAAATTCGTTGTTACTGCGTCATTGTTGAATATAATTGGCTGTTTGCAATTTAGTCTGTTGAAAAATAGAAACAAAGGAATTGAAGAAATATCTCTTCACAAGACAGAATTTTTGCGAAATTCGTTGTTATTACCTTATACGTACATTACTGTTGAATGTAATTGGTTTACAATTTAGTGTAATAAATGATACTTGTCTAATGCGAGCTTAGAACGTGATATCATTGAGAATTTGTTTCCAGATTGTGACTATAATCACGTAGATGATGGCGTCTCATTTTGTACCTCTGACACATAAGAGGACGATGTTCAATCATACTTGCAATAGTATTATTACGAGCCATTTCGGATCTTTTGTCACCATAAGAGTTGCACGAAAAAACAGTCTTGTAGAATTACCAGCGAAATAAATTTATTGTCACGCCAATTATTACAATTAACAGAGAACAATCGTATTTTACGTATTTTTCAATTTTTACTCAACAAAGCTACGTGCAAATGTAAAATTACCATCTACGCATAGCTTTCTTCTTCGTTTTTTAATGATTCAAATAGTCTACGTCCAGCATTTGTACAAAGTAAAGATCCTGCTGGAGCTATTCGTTGATCCTGGATGATCAAATTCGAGACTGAAATTTGAAAACGATCGCTCGAACGGGACATACATTTGATGAAAATTGCCTACGTTCTGACGCGAGACAAACCAGATCAAATTAACATAGAACAACGGGGAAATTGATGTTATCCAACATTAGTATTCGGAACGAAAGGTTTCTGAAACGAATCTCCAGGGCAGCGGAATGAAAAAGTTATTGAACAAAAAGAGGACAGAAGGAAGGGAAAGATAACATCACGTGATTTTATTCCCGATGAAAAGTTTCCCGTTGAGCTTCGCGTAATTAAAAACGATCGTCTTTCGTTCGAATTTCATTTGCAGATATATAAACGGCTCACAGTTGAAGATAACATTTCCTTGAAAAACATCCCGGTTTACTCATTATGAAGTATCCGATTTACGAAACCAACGATCTCGCAAGATCAGGGAGTTTGTCGCTCTCGCGATTTTTCTTTCTTTTTAGGAGCTAAGGTACTGCCAGGCGAAGGATCTTAGAAGCGTAACACGTATTGGACAATTCCGTAAGAATCGCAAGGGACAAACGAGTCGTCGAATATCAAGCAAAAAAGAAAGACACTTTATTGCGAAGAAAGTCAACTAACTAAAGTTACCACCATTCCCTTTTTCGTTGACTCTTTAACTCTCGGAAACATTTCTTGTCTGCCAGCAATTTATTTACGAAACAGCGAGAGAAGTATCAGTTCAAATAAAATGATGTAGCATTGGAAATAATTATCCTGGTTTAAATGGTATTTAGCAGGAAATTTTGTTGATTATAGTGTGTATAAAGACCTCGTTTAAAGCAATCATCAAAGTGTAGTACGTAGAAGAGACAGAATGACACACAATTGATACGTAATTTCAATTTCCCGAGAAACTGCCTTCGCCGTTTTATAAACGTTTGTAAGAACCAATAACAAGCTTAATTTATGTGAATTACCCGAATCATAATTTGACGTGCATTTGACCTCGAGAATTTCTTCTTTCGAAATTTTATTATTCCTCTTACGTCGTATTATATCATATCATACAACACCATATCATACTACGCTCATTAT